CACGACCTTTACACCATTAACGACAGTGCCATGGTGTAGTATGTTGAGATTGTGCCTGCAGTGCTTGCATCCATATGGGCGCTGTTTAGAGTTCCAGCTGCTCCATTTCTAATCCAACTTCTTGTTGATGGCCTGAGAAAGTAGCAGAAGGTGGCCCAAGTCCTTGGGACCCTGCACCCACATGCGACACCTGGAAGAAGCTCTTGGTTTTGCACTGGCCCAGCTCTGGTAGCTACAGCCATTTGGGGATCAACTCTAAGGAGAGAGTAATCTCTCTCTCTTTTTTTTTTTTTTTTACTTTTCTCTGTAAATATGCCTTTCAAATAACAATAAATATTTAAAAAAAAAAAAAACACAAACAAACCTCTAGCACTGCTTTCAAAACTGCCTGCAATCACCCTTGCCATCCTCTTGGGCCTGGGCCAGCATGGCTTGGTTCTGCAGTCCTACAGTGGGGTCTTTCTGGAATGTACATGCACAGGGATGTAGCATTCTGAGTCTGGAGTGAGCACGATGCATCTGATGTGCACCCATTTCCCAGCCCAGACAAGAATCCATCCTGCTTCCCCTCCCTCTCTGGTTAGGACTATCTGAAAGCCTTCATCAGCTCTTGTATGCCTACTGCTGAAGGTTCCCCCACAGCACTGCAAACCTACTAGCACGCAGCCCTTCTTCATACTGACCATACTTTTTCCCCTGAAATCTTTTTGGGAAAGAATCTTTAGAATCTAGAATCTACTTTTTAAATTGTTTGATTTTTCACTAATTTTAATGAGGAAATGTGTTTAGAAGCAGATACTGAACTAAACAAATTCAGAGTTGATATCTTAAGACATTTCATTTTATTTGTCATGTTCAGTTCTCTTATGTTACAGCTAACTTTTTTTGTGTCTTTTTGGTCTCAGCTTATTTCTGGAAGGCTCATAGGCTCTGGCTACCACAACCTGATTGCCTGACAGACTCATCCAAGTTTTCTAGGACTAAAGTCATGCACCAGTGAGAGACATGGCATAGTAGTTCCAGATTTCAATCCACATACACACCATCTAAGAATGTGTGTGCAAATGTGTTCCTCCAATACTACTATTTTTACTGGAAAAGCAGATTTATAGAGAGAAGGAGAGACAAAAACCTTCATCTAGTGGTTCACTCCCCAGTTAGTTGCAACAGGCAAAACTGAGCCTATTCAAAGCCAGGAGACAGGAGCCTTTTCTGGGTCTCCCAAGCTTGTGCAGGGGCCTAAGGGCTTGAGTCATCTGTTGCTTTCCCATGCTGTAAACAGGGAGCTGGATGGCAAGTGAGCAATGGGACCACAAATCGGCATCCATATAGGATGCCAGCACTTCAGGCAGGGAATTAACACTGGCCCAGATAAACACAAGTTTAATAAGGGTTCCTCCCAAGGGAGGAAAGAGCACATACAAATATGCGTGTGTGTGTGAATGTGTGTGTGTGCACAGCACAAGTGTACAGTCTGTGTAGTGTGTACAGTATGTCAGGTGTGAATTAAAATATCATTATTTACATTTTACTTCATAAACACAGTTTATACTGTTCCTTGGTAATCAGGGAACTGCAGTAAGTATTAAACCACCAAGCACACATGACCTATTGGGAGCTGTGAGTTGATGTTCTGAATGTGCAAGCATCCTGAGGTTGAGCTCTGGGAGAAGCTGGGGTCAGTGGGCTTCTGGTCCCCTTCAACAGAAACTCTCCTTGTCCTTTCCTTTACAACTATGACTCCACTCTCTCCCCTCCCTTAGTCTTCCATAACACTCAAGATGATTTGATATGCTTCAGAGGCTTTTGGGAAGTAATATTTCCTCAGTGAGAAACTGAGCGAGCTGTGTGGGGTTTTTTTTTTTAAATATTTATTTATTTTTATTGAAAAGGCAGATATACAGAGAGGAGGAGAGACAGAAAGGAAGATTCACTCCCCAAGCGGCTGCAATGGCTGGAGCTGAGCTGATCCGAAGCCAGGAGCCAGGAGCTTCCTTCTTCTGAGTCTCCCAGGTGGGTGCAGGGTCCCAAGGCTTTGGGCCATCCTTGACTGTTTTCCCAGGCCACAAGCAGGGAGCTGGATGGGAAGCAGGGCTGCTGGGATTAGAACCGGCACCCATATGGGATCCCAGTGTGTTCAAGGTGAGGACTTTTAGCCACTAGACTATGGCACTGGGCCCAAGAGCTGTGATTTTAAGTGCAAAAAGGTGGGTGTGGCTCAGTGCAATGGCTAAATTCTTACTTTGCAAGCACCAGGATCCCATATGGGTACATGTTCATATCCCAGCTGCCCACTTCCCATCCAGTTTCCCTGTGTGTGGCTTAGAAAAGCAATAGAGGACAGCCCAAAGCTTTGAGACCCTGCACCTATGTGGGAGACCAGAAGAAGATCCTGACTCTTGATTCACTCAGCTCTGACCATTGTGACCATTTGGAGAGTGAACCTGTGGATGGAAGATCTTCCTGTCTCTGTAAATCTGTCTTTCCAATATAAATAATCTTAAAAAAAAAAAAAGGGGGGTGGTGGTGGTGCGATAGCATAGTGGTTAAGGTCCTAGCTTTGCATGTGCTGGGATCCATACAGTTGCCAGTTCTAATCCCGGCGGCCCTGCTTCCCATCCAACTCTGTGCTTGTGGCCTGAGAAAGCAGTGGAGGATGGCCCAAAATTTTGGGATCCTGCACCCGCATGGGAGACCTGGAAGTGCTCCTGGCTTTGGATTGGCTCAGTTCCAGCCGTTGCGATCACGTGGGGGGCAAACCATCAGATGGCAGATCTTCCTCTCTCCTCCTTTTTGTATATCAGCCTTTCCAATAAAAATAAATAAATCTTAAAAAAAAAAAAAGGAGCAAAAGAGGGTGATGGCAGAGAATGGAGCTAGAATTTCAAATTCTGCAAGATATCTAGGACATCCCAACCCAACCAGCAGAGTGCTGGATAAGATCCTTGGGATCTGGACAGCACGGGGCTGCAGCAGGACTACACAGAGACACAGGTCCATGTCCCATGGAACAAAGCCTCTGTGCTAGTGAGGCTCATCAGTTTTGCCCTAGAGATCAGGAGACTGGTAGAATCTCCTGAGTTTGGGGTAAAAAAAATAAGCCCCAACCAGGTCTGGGAGTAGATTCTGTGGGGAATATGTGGGCCAACCCCTGTGGAAATACAAGTCCCACTGGTTAGCTCAAGAGTTGGGTGATGATGGGCTGAACTAAGTGTGACCACGGAATCTGCCAACACAAACGGGCATAGGGACCAGTTTAGACAGGTCCAGGGTGCAGCACCCCCATGTGCATCTTAAAAGAGAGTGTGGGCAGGTTGGGCTGAAATATTCACCAGCTTATACTAGGCCAAGATGGACATCCTTGCTTGGCTTTGCTCACTGATTGGGAGCAGCAGAGATGGACCACTGGGCAGAATGAGTGGTTTTGCCTCTGACACCTTGGCGCCCCACCCTGTGGCAGGACAGCAGACACAGCCCAGCCTCCCAGAGGTCTCATCAGAAGTTGTTGGATAGGGAACAGGGCTGCAAGAGGGGATGAACCAGGGAGCCACAGCCAGTACAGCCAAAGTGAAGGCACTTCTGTTTCTTGGTAGTGACTCGCTTTCCCCCACCCCTCCCCGACTCTGAAATGTGCCCCGTTCTCCATATAAGCTCACCGTACATGCCTTTCCATTGCTTCCCTGTGCAGAGGGTCCTTCTAATTAGCCTTTCTTAGGCTAGAACCCTGGCACAAATGCGCTTGTAGGTCATTTGGGGCCTCTGTTCCCTTCCATACTGAAAACTCTCCATACATTTCTTTTAAAACCTTTTATTCAATAATATATACTTTCAAAATAATATGTAACTGCCCATCATGCCATATATTGTCCCATTCCCCACAGTGGTGGCATCTGTGGTGGGCTGGCAAAACAGGTGGCCATGAGACTAGGGGCACAGGGGACAACAGGAACCGACCATTTTGCATATCCTTCACATTTCCCATGCTTCTGGGTTGGGAGAAAGTCAACAGGAAGCCAAAGGCATGTGGCCCTTTTACATTCGAAAGTGAGGTTTGGTATACGGTGGTGGGCTGCCCTTCAGGTGGTCTAGTTCGTGCTCGCCAAACCTGCCACCATTTTGTGTCTGCCCACGCCACGTGATCTCTCTACACACCTTAAGACGTTTGATTTGGTTCTCGTTCTGCTTATGGAAAAGTGGGAAGAACCGCAACAGACCTGGGGAGAGACGGGAGGAGGGGAAAGATGGCATTAATCAATCTGACTGGAAGTCAGAGACAGACCTCCACTTGTGTGGAGCTTGCTTCTCAGATCCAGGGCTGGGGGACAGAATGCGAGCTAGCCTTTCTGTGCCTGTTGGTAGGCAACCTCAGGTAAGTCATCGCTTGGTGACTTAAGGTTCCTAACAGAACTGTCACACAAGGAGACTTTACGGTTTCTGCCAGCTGGTCTCTTCTCCTTCCCTTGGGTTCAAGTGCTGATGGAGAAGAGCTTGAACCCTTGGATTATTCTGTCCCAGTCTAAGTTCCCCGCAGACCTGACCCCACCTGAGAATGTCTTGGGCCGAGTGCCAGCAGATGACTGAATTTATTTTGGGAAAAGGGTCCACTAATAAACATTTTAAACCACCCTTCCTCCTCCGCCTAGGCCAACAGTGAGCTGATTGGCTTGGGCCTGAAAATTTCATTTCTTCTTCCACCTCTGCACTTAGCAAAAGACATGGCGAGAGGCTAGTAGTGGGATTTTATAGGAAGAGTCTCCCAGATTGGCAGTCACTGACCCCTGTCATGTCACAACCTGGGCAAAGAAAGTGTTCCACTGCTTGGGCTTGGAGAAAAGTGTTGTAAGGCATGTCCAATTGGTTTCCAAGGAGGCAACTCCTCAGAGGGGACCCATGAGGAGGAGGCATACTGGGTGCCACCATCTGCTAGGCAACAGTGTGCCTGCAAGTGCATGCATGTGTTCAAGACAGAACACTGGGCCACAGGTTAGTCATGCAATTAAGTCAATCCAAAGCAGCAGGTGTCTGAGTGATCTAACTCAGCAGCCAGCACAGGTGAGCAACCCCATCACAGTTCTTCCATGTTCCACTTCCACTGGAGCAAAGCCTTCCCATCAAGGGAGGAACAGCAAACACTCCATACTTGCTTCTTTGCAGTCCAAGGCTTTTCCCCGCCCTTCACCCAAGAGACAGGAAATACAAGGTAAGGACCTCATACAATGGTTTTTCTTTCACTTGGGAAAGCTGGTTATTGTCAACATCTTTATTTATGAAAACAGGCTTTGACATGGCATCTTTCTTCCCTCTCAGGGCAGCAGCACATCAGTCACACATCAGTTCTCCAGGGATACAAAGGGGTGACCAACTGGGTCTGAAGGAGTCACTTGTCAAGGATCACAGCCCATGTGTTGTCGTTTTTCTGCCAACAGAGGGCTCCACAGTTCTTGAAGATTATCCAAACTTTCCACTGGATGTCAAGATCTCTGCCCCAAACTTAGTTATCATTTACAGCAACAAGAGCCAGCAAGTAAAAAACTGTTAATTTATTGACTCCAAGTTGTATTGTTGTTTTTAAAAACAATCCCCAATACATGCAGTTCAGGGTTAAGTATCACATTTGTAGCACATTGTTGAGTCTCGACACAGATGTACACATCACCTGTACATTCCATCACACCTTCCCCACCAGCCTCTGTGACACCTGGTTGGGGGGGGCGGGGAGCGTGTTTGTTAGCATATCCACACAGCTCAAAAGCACGCTAATGGTTCTCTCACACAGATGTCTCCCTGCCACCTGCCCTCCTCCCAATCCCATTCTGGGAGTGAATTTGCAAAGGCAGGACATGCCCAGTTTTAATTCATGAGGCTCTTGGCAAACTTTGGCTTCATGTGTGCTCATTTGGCCCCTGCTCTTGTTGCTGGAACAGTTTCGGTTTAAGTGATGGGAACTGTCAATTATCATCCTCTCTTCATTGGTAGTAGGGAAGTTTGCCTTTCCCTGTGGATGCCCACGAAGTAACACAAGTTCCTAAACAAATCATTTAATCTGACTGGGCATTAAAGGAAACTGTTAACTGGGCTCTCTTAAGAGTTACATCAATGCCAGCACAAAAAACTCTTGAAATTGTTGCTTGGGTCCCCAAATAGTTTCGCTTCTCTCCTCATCAATGCAGCACCTGGGAGAACCTAAGTCATTTCCCTGAGTAACACAGATCCCTAGCACCCAGCTCCCTCTCTGAGACTCAGTACCTTTCAGTCCCACTGGAACCACTCTACAGGGCAGGGTGTTCCAGAACACGCACTGCCCTCTAATTTGACAACCTTAAGATTTACCATCAGGTTATTTTTCTTATTGGTTCCTTTAACTATAGCCCCTCCTCTGGTCAATCTCTCCAAACACCCAAGGATTATGCCACTCTCCACTAGCGAACCAGTAGGACTGTATCTCCCTGTCTGCTGGAGAAGGCATTGTCAGATGATGCATTAGGAGACTCAGCTACGTGGCTGGTAAGTCAGAGGTTCACCAAGCCAGCAGTGGCGCTTCTCTAAGTGGTACAGACACAGGAATATGTGGCCTGTTTCTGCACTGAACAGTATCTCCCTACTCGGCCACCTAACAGAGATGGGGGACAGGGGCAAGGGTATTGCCACAGGTGTACATATCGCTGAGCAGAGCACAGTTATACTCTGTGAGATTTCTCAGCTGAAGTAAATCCTCTGTGACCACCAAAATGGCACTCTTCCACCTGCATCAGGCACAGGGACCCTTGGCTCTGACTCTGCCAGGGTTATGTCCTTGAACGTAGGCAGTACCTGAGATGATAGTGTAACACTACCCTGTTCCCCATGTTTTTGTTTTTTTTGTTTTTTTGTTTTTTTTTGCTTTTCCTTAGGAAATAATTGAGTCCTTATCATAGGCACTTTTAACCTGTTATAAGGTAATGAAGCAAACAAAACTTACTGAGATGAGTTTGAGAATATGCAAACTGAACTGGATACTGGATGAATAATTTTACCACAGTTTAATCTAAATGTAAGATCAAGCTTACACTCACACACACACAACTATCATCCAAACCCATCCCTTGCACACATCTTTTGGAAGTTTTAAAGACTACCTTCTAACTCAGGTAAATCCCTCAAATCTCAGGGGCCTCAGGTCCAGCTGAACACAAAATGGTTTTGAAAATAGGTGAAAGGGAGAGGTTGGAGTAGGCTCCCTACATTTAGAGGAAGAACGGCCTTGTTGTCAAGAGCAGACAGAAAAGGGGTGTTTCACACCCAGTTATACTCTGAGTCTAAGGCATGATGAGAGGTAAAATGAAGAGGTGCTAGAAAAACAAACTGCTCAAAAAGGAAGAACTACTCCTGTGTGTCACAGCTGCAGTTTCAGAACCCAAAGACACACAGGACGGCAGGGTCTGCACCTAAAATGTCACGGCCCAAGGAGAGGGAGGAGGAAATCATTTTGTTTTTCCAGACACGTTTACTGCTTCTGGGCACCCGAGGGTGGGGCGGAACTGAGGGAATCATGGTTACTGCTTCCTAAGATCTCCCAGTAGGTTCCTGCATGGTCCAGGTAATTTGGAAATAAAAAGGCAGGAGGGGAGCAAGTAACAAAGGAGACAGGCAGGAGGGGAGCAGGAACAACACCCGGTGTATAACCCTGACAGCGAGCAGTGGCTGGAATGCCTGTACAGGCACATGTGAAGGCTTCAGCTTCCCCCAGGTGCTCAGAAGGCTGCCTGACAGAGCAAAGGTTTGGCCGAGAGCTCACACTGTATTTTTGATTTGCAGGTAGAACAAGTATTGACATCATTATATAGACTGTGCACAGCAGCACATCTGGCAGCACTGGGGAGAGAACCTTGACTATTTCTTGGCTTTGGGGGGTGTTTAAAAATTTTTTAATCCGTAAACAACTCTATACTAAGAAGAGTTTTGTTTATATTTCAAGTTCCCATAGACCGAACAACAAAAATAGAATCTACATTTAGAAATAGGACCTACTACCAATATGATTTTATTGGAATATGGAATGTAAACAGATGCTTTAAACAAACAGTCTAACTTCATAAAAATGTCTGGCACTATTAAATAGTTAATGAAGAAATCCTAGAGTGTGATGTGTGGGAACATCTCTGGCATGAGCTCTAGCCTACGTGTTTAAGTCCCCAGAGCTAACACGGCTCCACCCTGGGGGTGAGGGGACTGATGATGGCAAGCCATGTTGATGCTAAGTTTCAAAACAGTATCAGCACTATTTCTTTTTGAAACAAAATCTTCTTTCTTTGTTACTGTGAAGGTGGGTTAGCACAGGGATCCAACTCCGGAGCACTTGGTCCAGGAGCACCACTTCCTTCCCCACCCCCCCGTGTGCACTCCCCTCCTCCTGGGCCCTTGAATAAAGAATGACTTTGTCCACCAATGCCAGTTCCTGCATGCAAGACAGACTGCTTCTTGCCATCACACCCATGTTTCACACAGCAGAGCTGAAAAATGCACATCACCCCATTACAGCCAGAAACCGCCTGTCAGGGGGATAAAAAGAAGGAAACAGGAGTGGGGTTTGGCAGTACATTTCACCCCTTCCCTCCAATTAAGTCCTTCCTGAAAAATTCTAACAGGTTATTTTTTTCCTTCACCTACTTGTCTGAAAACTGACTTTCCAGTTTTGGTTATGGTTGTGAACAAAAACAGGTCTTTGTTTCAGAGATGCATTAAAACAGGCATACACAGGGGTATGCTGAGAAGGGTGAGGCTTTCCTTCAAGACTGCGAGAACAAAAAGCCAAACAACAACAGCAAAAAAAATTAGCAACAAAGATTTTATGGTTATGCAAATCCACAAAGGTTCTATCCAAGTGACGCACTTAGCATGGAACTTTTGAGACCCAGGGGCCTGTTCACGGCACCAGACGTAAAGTGATGCCTCTTCGAAGTCAAAGAGGACTCTTGTGAAAGCAGGTGTGGTTTGCTTCCAAATGAGCAGCACACTTAAGAGGAAATCTGCAGGGCTGAAGGGCATTTTCTGGAGAGCTCATGTCTTTAAAAAAAAAAAAAAAAAGGCCAAACCAAACCAAACAAACAAAAAAATCCATGAATTTGTAAAAGTTTAAAAAAAATACTGTCACTGTTTTTAATCTCTTTCTTGGATATGAGGCTGGTGTGTCAGTACAGACTGCTGACATTTGCTAAAACTTGAGCCTGAATTCTCATCAAAAGAAACCCAGACCACAATGGAATAGATAGGAAGTCAGATATTCAGAGCTTGTTGATTGCACAGGTTAACTCCACAGTGCAGTCCTGTGAAATAAAGGGAAACGTACAACAACTCCGAGTTTCTCATCTCCCATGCATTCCAAAGGGAGAATGCCCTCAGATCCTGAACTACGAGCAGGGCCAGATCGCAACAGCAGCTCCCTGTCCACTAGTACTGGGGAGTTGCTTTCTTTTTGACAGACTTTTAGGTCTTTACTCTTCTTTGCATTTAGAAGGAATGATTGGAATTTCTTTTTATCACACTGTAGTTTTCCTTCAAGATTTGGGTGTGGTTGGTTTTATTGGCAAGCATCAATGCCGCATTACCCGTCGCTCTCCCGTTTTCATCGTGCTGCCGTGAGGCCACTGGAGAGCACAGCATTATCTCCACAAGGCTGGGACTGCTCCTTCACCACGGGGTCTGCAAAGAAGCAGGGGGCACAGTTAGCAGGGCTCAGGTGGGCAGCCAAGCCTTCTGCAGACAGACACACGAAAAAGTGCAGATACCCAGGCCTGCCAGGGTTGGGGGAGTCTAGCAGACAGCAGAGACCAGGGGGGCTGTGCTTGGAGTCCACTCTGACAGTTCCTCAGAGCATGAACTCCACTGCTGAGACGCACTGAGCCCTCATCTCTCACAGTTCGGAATATCTACTAACTGCATGTTATTTTGTTTTAGATACTAACATCACACCTAATCCTTAATTTATTCAAGCCCCATGCAATAATAGGCATTTCAAAGGAAAAAGTGAATAAACAGAGCCATTAGATGCCTATCTTAAGCAAGAGTAGTTTACAATTTTCTTAACTGTGCACCTTAAACAGCAGAATGCACTTGTGACAGTTGAGGAACTCCAGTATTGTATCAAAATAGAGGAAATCAGTAGGTGGAAGGGAAGAGATGGAAGGGGAAATCTCTGAGCCTATGTAACTATATCATGAATTAACTAAATAAATAAATAAACAAAAAGCAAATTTCTTAACTGAAGTATGACAAATATTTAGAAAAGTAGACAGACCATCCTCCACTGCTTTCCCAGGCCTTAAGCAGACAGCTGGTTTGAAAGTACAGCATCCAAGACATGAACTAGCGCCCATTTGGGATGCTGGCATCACAGATAGATACTTAGCCTACTACTCCATGGCACCAGGCCTGGTTTGATCTTCTATATTAACTCCTCTAACAGGCCAGAAGTTCAAGACCACAGTAACAAATCCTTCAGGCATGCTAGGTTTCTGCCTGTAGCACAAGCATCTGCGATAGGTACAGGTTCCAATTCTGGTTGTCCCATTTCCAATCCAGTTCCCTGCATATAGCCTGGGAAGGCAACAGAGGACAGCTCAAGTCCTCGGGACCCTGTACCCACATGGGGGACCTGGAAGCAGCTCCTGGCTTTGGATCCACTCACGTCTGGCCGTTGCAGCCATTTGGGAGTGAATCAGCAGATAGAAAATTTTCTTTCTTTCTCTCTGTGAAATCTCCCTTTTCAATAAAAAATAAATTTATTTATTTTTAAATTAGAAAGGCAGATCAGATTTAGAGGACAGAAAGATCTTGTATCCACTGGTTCATTTCCTAAGTGGCTGCAACAGCCAGAGTTGAGCCAATCCAAAGCCAGGAACCAGGAGCTTCTTTCGGGTCTCCCTCATGGGTGCAGGGTCTTAAAGTTATGGGCCATCTTTTATTGCTTTCCCAGGCTGTAAGCAGGGAGCTGGGATGTGAATTGGAGCAGCTGCAACCTGAATCAGGGCCCTTGCAAGGTCAGGATTTAGCCATTGAGTCATCACACTGGGACCTAAAATTTTAGTTTTTGAAAGGCAGACAGACTTAAGGAGACAGACTGAAATTTCCCATCCACTGGTTCATGTCCCAGATGACTGTAACAATAGCCAAGTCAGGGCCAGGCCAAAGCCAAGAGCTGTGAGAGGCAGACACAAAAGCACTCTCACTGTTCAATGCTTGTGGCCTCTCAAGGTGCACGTTAGTGGAAGCTGGAATACGAGGCTGAGCCAGGCACCTCAAACCCAGGCAATCTGATAGAGGATGTGGGTGCCCCAAGCAATGGCTAAACCCTGTGCCAAACACCTATTCCTAATCATTGTCTTTCAACGTATACCTTCGAGATCTATTGAGAAAATGGATAAATAGACTGGACCCAAGGGAGTTATGGTTTGTGAACAAGCAATCCCTAGGGGCAATCAAGAAATGGATCTGCAAAGTTGTCTCAACTGTCTGGGACAGAACTCCTTTGAGAGTCTTGAAGACGAAGAATGGAAGATTCTTCCATAAATAAGTGACAGCCCCCAGAAAACAGCCCCAAGTCACTCACAGAAGTACGGGTGCTCCATGGCCTCTTTGGCAGTCAGTCTCTGTTGATGGTCGTATCGCAGGAGCTTGTCCAGAAGATCTAGGGCCTCAGGGCTGACAAGGTGTCTGTTTTCACTATGGATAAAGTTCTCCCAGCGTTTCCGTGAATGTCTGAGAAGAAAAGGGAAGCACTGCTACTCTGATGTGAATCTACACTGACTACTGGCATCCTTATGAGTACACTAACAAGAGTCCTCACCTATTGGAGCAAAACACAACAAAATCCACGCATGCTGAGCTCCTGTTGTTACATCTCATTGTTATTGGGGATTGTCCTGTGACCCTCCCCTCGCAGTTATACTGCAGCATCACGAATAAACAATACAAAACACTCCACGGTTAAAGAAAATTAGCTAAAATGGCAAATTCTCTTCCTAGAACTGTTACTCAGTCCTAAAAATATTTATGGATCAGGAAATCTATTTACAGGGCAAACCTCAGAAACATGGAAGATTCCATAAAATACTTGTTCTTCTGAAAATTGTCAAGCATTCACTTTTCAACATAGTACCTGGAAATTCAATATGCCTAAAAATTTACTTCATTACAGAGAAGAATCTATTAATCCTTTATTCAAAGAGCAACCACAGCTTTCTAAGATTTTCCACTAAAATAAATATATGCTATAACCAGAAAATTCTCTGTAATATCATGATTTTGTTTTCTAGTTTCTATCGAAACACAGGTGATACCTCAAATAAATTAAATGAGCAGAAAATATGCAGGATGTCCAAATTATTTCAAATAAGGTAAAACACATGGAAAAAAAGAGTATTTCCATTTTGGTCCCATGCAGGGTAGACAGTGATTCTGACTAACTTTTCTGCTTCTGAAAAAGGGGAAGAGGTAAAGGCTCCTCCCTCCCTCTTACTTACTGTCCCAAGATATCGTTGAAGTGTGGATCTAGGTCTATATGATACTTCTTCAGATATCCATACAGCTCATCCGTGCCCAGCACTTTGGCAATGCGAACAAGCTGAAACACAAAATATACTGACCAAATCACTGTGCCTGGAACTCAGGAGGATCCTTGGGCCAGGGAAATCAGAAAACTCCATGCCAGCAGGCCTCTGTATCCAAGAACACGAGGTTCCCATGAAAGCAATTTTCCAAACTGTCTTTCAAAGGTTAACCCAACTAATCTCAGTATCAGAAGCTAATGATTATGGGAGAATCCCAATCTAATGAATGGAATCTAGTGTTAGGAGATAAGAAGAGGCCCAATTTCTTTAAAAAGTCACTTGGCAAGATTAGCATATATTACATCATCATCTGTTTCTGTAACCACAGATACAACTCTGCACATTCTTTACCTTGAACAAAAGCTGCAACACAGACACTAAGATTTAGTGGCTGAGGGTAGCATTCCTCACTAAGGACATTGTTTTCTTTTTTCTTTTAAAGTTATTTCTTTTTAAAAAGATTTATTTATTTTTATTGTAAAGTCAGATATACAGAGAGGAGACAGAGAGGAAGATCTTCCATCCAATGATTCACTCCCCAAGCAGCTGCAACAGCTGGACCTGAGCAAATCAGAAATCAGGATCCAGGAGCTTCTTCTGGGTCTCCCATGTGGGTGCCAGGTCTCAAGGCTTTGGGCCATCCTCGACTGCTTTCCCAAGCCACAAACAGGGAGCTGGATGGGAAGTGGGGCCACCAGGATTAGAACTGGCACCCATATGGGATCCTGGCACATTCAAGGTGAGGACTTTAGCCGCCAAGCCATCGCACTGGGTCCTATTTTCGTTCATTGTTTAAGGATTAATTTATTTATTTTAAAGAGTTACACTGAGAGGCCAGCACAAAACCATAGCAAGCTAACCCCTACCTGCAGCACCAACATCCCAGACAATCACCAGTTTGAGGTCCAAGGTGTTTCATGTCTAACCCCACTCCCTGCTAACAGCCTGAGAAAGTAGTAATAGATGGCTCTTGGGCTTTTGCACCAACATGGGAGACCCAGGAGACACTCCTAGCTCCCAGTTTCAGACAAACCCTGCTTTGGCCATTATAGTCATTTGGGAATGAACCAGCCGATGGAAGATTCTCTATTTCATTGTAACTATGTAAAGTAAAAGAGAAGAGACTTAGAGAGAGAGAAACCTTTCACACACTTGTTCACTTTCAAATAGATATGAAGACCAAGAACTTGAAATAAGAGTGTGAGGGGCCCAGGTACTTGGACAGCCCATAATGGGTGTCAGTTCCTTTCATGGCTATTACTTGCGACCCAGTCTCCTGTTGATGCACCAAGGAAAGCAGTGGAAGACAGCTCAAGTTCTTGGGCTCCTGCCACTCATGTAGGAACCCTGGAAGAAGCCAAGAGACCCGGGCTGTTACAGCAATTTGTGCAACAAGCCAGCAGATGGAAGTGCTGCCCCTAACTTTGCACTTTAATGTTTCAAATAAATTTGTCAAAAAATTGAAATAGCGAGGACACCAACCAGTACTCATACAAGATGAGGGCATAGTAGATGGTGGCTTCAACAACTGTACTGCAACACCAGCCCAGACACAAATTTCTCATCATTCATCCCCAACAAATTTGAGGCAGATGGTGTCTACTCACCTGGTCATAGTTGTCTTGGCCATGGAAGAAAGGTTCCTTTCGGAAGATCATGCTCGCCAGCATGCAGCCTAAACTCCACATGTCCAAGCTGTAATCGTACATCTGTGCCAATAATGACCAACACTGTGAGCAACCCGCTTTGCTAATAAGCATTTCTTATTTTCATTTGCAAACTATTTTAAAGCCATCCTCCCCACCCACTTTTTCCATACAGACATAAAAAAGCCCCTGAAAAAAAATCTGCAAGTAGCATTTTTGGGGAATAGAAAAATGGCTGTTTTTTGAATGGATCCAAACTGACTAAAAAGCAAACCAGGAAAAGCCCCCAGAAAAGTTTAAAAATAACTCCAAGAAGCTTTGTTATCAATATCAAGTTCACCTGATAGTCCACAAGGAGCTCTGGACCCTTGAAATACCTCGAGGCTACGCGAACGTTATACTCCTGAGCAGGATGATAGAATTCAGCCAGGCCCCAGTCTATCAGCCGAAGCTATAAACATGACAAAAGAGACACATGAAAGGAGGGTTTTTAGATGCCCTGGCCTCAGAACAAGGCTTTATCACATTAGCTAGCAACTGTATGGCCATGCACTATTTGAGCAGTGCACTAGTCAGAAAAGTAAGTTTCGGTAGCTGCATCAGAGGTCCCTTCTAGCTTAGAGTGCCTGGAATGTCTTTGGCTATTGCCGATAATTTAAATCACTCTGGCTTACCACTCTCCCCAGATCAATAGAACTTGGTGTTTCCCCCTTCCCTGCTTTCATAGCACTTACACATGTAATACATGCCATCCTCCCCCAGCCAAAACTTGCATTATAAGCTCCAGGTATAACTGAAGGGGTTGGGACATCTGCCCCACCCTAAGACTAGAGCACTGCTCTGGCTTGTCACTAATCTAATACCAGTTGATCTACCACTTACTCACCAATCAGGGACAGTCAGAGCTGGGTATCAAAAACAGGAGAAACCATATGTACATTTAAGACCAAGCAGATTAGTCTGATGTCATTAAGCAGCACAGCAGAAACTGCTAGCTAACAGTTTCTTTATTGAGACCCTGTGGGAACCTATGACGAAAACGCAAGTGACTTAGCTACGTCCTCTGTCTACTTTCATTGTGCACTGTGCTATGCAAGGCAGAAATTGACATTGGAGAGTGAAGAAATCCCAGTCCTCTAAAGACAAAATGGGTCTCTAGAAAACGCCAGGGTCCTGGAGAGCCTTCTGGTTGGTTCTACACCTTCTAACACAGGCTTGCCACTGCCTGGTGATAATGGTACCTTTTGTTGTTGGTGATCTATCATGACATTGTGAGGTTTCACATCCCTGTGCATGATTCCCTTGCTGTGGCAGTAATCCAGAGCCTATTAGGTAAGAAAGCACAGAGAAAGGTAAGCAAACCCTCAGCCACCCCCCAATGCACACACATGCTCATTATTTACTTGTGACATCTTCGCGTCAATCCCGTCTCCCAGGCAGGGCTCAGGTTCTGTGGCCACCATGGGAAAACAAGCTTTAAAAGGCATTCCTGGCTCTCTGTGCACACCACACTGGCCACTGGCAGGGAGAGGGCTCTGGAGGGAACACTGAGGGCTATGAGGAAGGTGTCTTTAAAACAGCGGAAGAAATCAGATTTGGGGACTCTGGCGTGCCGGCCTAGTGGCTAAATCCTTGTACTGCATGCACCAGGATCCCATATGGGCACTGGTACATGTCCCAGCTGCTCCACTTCGCATCCAGCTCTCTGCCTGTGGCCTGGGAAAGCAGTCTAGGACAGCAGTCTTGGGACCCTGCACCTATGTGGGAGCCCTGGAAGAAGTTCCTGGCTCCTGGCTTCAGATCTGCTCAGCTCCAGCCATTGCAGTCACTTGGGGAGTCAATCATAGGACAGAAGATCTTCTTCTCTGTCTCTCCTCCTCTCTGTGTATCTGACTTTCCAATAAAAAAAAATAAAATAAATCTTAAAGCAACAACAACAAAAAACAAGTTTGGAAACCTCAGTGGAGCTGCCTCTCATCGTGTTTCATACGCTTTGTCAGCATCTACCCATGAGGAATGTCGTGCAGTTCTATCTTTCAACATGGCTTGTCTTTTAGATAAGTGTCCACGTGTGTTTTCCTTAAATACAACTGCTGAGTCAGTTGCCCTTTACAGTGTTACTCAGAGAGAAAATGGCTTCCTTTAGTTAATATGTAGATAGTTTTTTAAGTTTGCAAGTCAATAGTTTTCAGAAAATGCAATTTTAGTATCACCACAATCCAGTTTTAGCACTTTGTCATCAGCCCCATATTTCTGTTTGCAGAATCCTTTCCTTCCCCCATGAGATGCCAGCAGTACCCATCTGGCTGTAACAACTAAAACATTTTCAGATATTGCTTTATGTGGGATAGGTGGCAAACTTGACCTGGATGAGAGTTTTAGAAAAGACAGTGTACAGGCATCTTTACGTTAAAAAACAAGGAATGGTCTCTAGGATCTACACCCCGGCAATAAACTCTTCTGGTCTGCAACCAATTCTGCTTTCTCCACATACAAAAACATACACAAACCATACTGCTTTTTATCAACAATAAGCAGTACTAAAACTAAGGGAACAGGAAGAGGAAGGCTTGCTCATAATATCTTCTACCAGCCCTGTGCACCTTCTATAACCATGGAGATGGAGATGTTCTGTACTCTTGCTGCACTGTGCCTTACAGAAGCCACTGACCACATAAGACCACTGAGCACTTGAATGTGGCTCCTATGGGTAAGGAACAGAATTTTAAATTTGACTTAATTTCAACAGCTGCCTATGGGAAGAAGTTATTCTATCAGTGTGGTACTTGATGTTTTAAATCAAACACACACACACACACACATACACATCCCTAACATTTATTCACTTCACTTCCTATTTCAGTTAAATATTCTCTTTGCTTTGTAATAGCTGTCAAAGATTCCAGCTCACAAAGGTAGACCTCCCTGAAGTTCCCTCAAGGATCAGCCTCTGCTGCCGGCTCCAGTGAGTCATGGAGCATTCACCCAAGAACCTCTGCATTTTCTTTCTTTCTTTTTTTTTTTTTTTAAGATTTATTTTTATTATTTTTTTATTGGAAAGGCGGATATACAGAAAGGAGAGACAGAGAGGAAGATCTTCCATCCCATGATTCACTCCCCAAGTGAGCGCAACGGGCCGATACTATGCCGATCCGAAGCCAGGAGCCTCTTCTGGGTCTCCCACACGGGTGCAGGGTCCCAAAGCTTTGGGCTGTCCTCGACTGCTTCCCCGGGCCACAGGCAGGGAGCTGGAAGGGAAGCGGGGCTGCCGGGATTAGAACCGGCGCCCATATGGGATCCCGGGCATGCAAGGCGAGGACCTTAACCACTTGCGCCACCGCACCGGTCCCAACCCCTGCATTTTCAACACAGTTAAACATTTCCTCCTACCCACTCCTACTGCTCCCCAGAAACACTACTACCAATGTTATCAAATCTTGACTGGTATTTCACCTGGACCTTGCCCAAAGGGACCACAACTAGGACCACAATATTTGGCATGAAAATCCAGGGATGAATAAGTAAGATAATTAATTCATTTATCATGTTCACCAGACTCCCCATGGGATTACTGATAAGCTTTAAAATTTCTTGACGTATTACTTCAGTTTTAAAAATCTGGTAAATTTTCTGATCCCTGACATCAAGGATGTTCTTAAGTTTCATCTGGGTTTCTGTGCTTCACCAGCACCAGCAGGGAGGTTAGACACGAAGCAGTTGCATGGTCAGCTTGTGAAGGGCTATGTCACTGTCATGTCTTTGGCTGATGGAAGGACGAATGCTCTCAGTTATAAATTGTTACCTTCGGGCCTGGCGGCGTGGCCTGGCGGCTAAAGTCCTCGCCTTGAGCGCACTAGGATCCCATATGGGCGCCAGTTCTACTCCCGGCAGCTCCACTTCCCATTCAGCTCCCTGCTTGTGGCCTGGGAAAGCAGTTGAGGACAGCCCAAAGCTTTGGGACCCTGCACCCGTGTGGGATACCTGGAAGAAATTCCTGGATCCTGGCTTCGGATCGGCATAGCATCGGCTGTTGCGGTCACTTGGGGAGTGAATCATCGGATGGAAGATCTTCCTCTCTGTCTCTCCTCCTCTCTGTATATCTGACTTTCCAATAAATAAATAAATCTTTAAAAAAAATTGCTACCTTAGGTATGGATTGGAGCTCTCCTGGGCTTCTTTGGGAAGCACCTCTAGGAAAGGGGCAAGCCTGACTATTCACAGAGCCACTGAACTACAGACTTCGTTCAGTCTGGGCCTTCAACTCTCCAAAAGCTTGGAGGTCAGGGAAAAAAGGCAGGTTATAAATCTAGCACTGTCTCTGTTGTTCTGTTCTTACTGACAAACACTAGACTTAGAACAATGTGCAGTATCATATATACATACATACACTTGTGAGCAGAGTCCACAGCTCTTGGCAGACTCTTAGTCATCCATGATCCTGAACAGCTAGGATCCACTGGTCTGTTCCACTTCATAAATCTTTCTGGAATATTTCAACTAAGCATCTACCTAGACATATTCAAAAGATCATTCCTCTACCAACCAGTAATAACTTTAGAAAGTTTCCTAAGAAGCAGGGATGGAGGAAGAGCGGGTAGTCCCTCACAAAAGTACATGTCACTCTAGTACACGTTATCAATACTTCTCCCATCAAAGCTGTCTGTGAAGACAGCTGTGGCCAATGTGACTTGCTTTACCAATAAGGCAGTGGCAAACACAACACAAGCCGAGAGCTGAAAAGGGCCTGCATCATGAACTCTGTCCAAGTCTTGCTGCCAGAAGCCCAGGACCACCCTGGGAGGCAGCCTGGGGATAAGCTCCCAGAGGACGAAATAGCTATCCCAGCTGCCCAAGCAAAGGGCCCAGCCATGTGAATGAGTCCATGCAGGATCACCTTGCCCAAGCCAGGTCAACCCAGACTCAAAAGCATCACATAGTTAATATACAGATAATGAATAACAAATACATCATTTTTTTAAATTTTAAAGATGTATTTATTTATTTATTTTTGCAGTTTAGATTTTTTTTTAATCTTACTTAGTTGCTTAGGGTACAAAGGGTCAAGGGTTACAGCAAAGTGGGTAATACCATTGTTTCCACACTAATATCATCACTTTTTTCTCCTGTATTTGGGGTCAGGGGAAAAACAAAGCAAAAAGCCCCACCCTTCTCCCTCCCAAAATACATCATTTTTTAAAAAGTCATTACATTTGGGATGATTTGTTATATGAGAAAACTACTACTTAGTATGAACTAAGCAGTACAAAGAAAATTGAAAGGCTAACAAGGCTACAGGAGGCTCTAGTCTTTGGAATAACGTCCCTGCTACAACTTGGTTGGTCAGCTTTCCCAGTCTCACCGCACAGATTCTCTGTGAAGAACACAATGCTGGAGCCCTCAAGGAGTTCAAATACCTTACTAAGTTTTCTAGGTACCAAGAATATTTTACTGGAACTCTGTCCCCTTCAAACTCCTTTAATGAGCAAATCTGAAAAGTTCAGTTCATAAATGCCACTTACTTTAAGTAGTTCATACATATAAAACCGGATATCAAAGTCTGTGAGGATCTGGTAGAGTTGCTGAAACAGAATTCAGAAAATACACAGTTAATTTAGTCTCATTGTATCTTGGCATTCCAAGTGTTGGTCATTCTCTGTAAACTTACTCAGTGTAAGTTAACAAGAAATCTTCGGTCTTTTTACTACTTAACCTAGAACAAACTAGTACAAAGACTTTACAGCAGAAGACCTAACGTCTAAATCTTCCAAACAGCAGAAGAAAACAATCCAAACCACTGCAGATCTTTTCTACTTAATGCTCAGAGATTTAAATGTGCATGCAAAATTATATTATTGCGTGTATGAGTTGTCCATCTGTCCTTATATTAAGATACACACACACACACACACACACACACACACACACACACACACAGGGCAAGAGATCTTCCACCTGCTGGTTTATTCCCCAAATGCCCAAAACTCAATCCTAGATTCCCTGATGAGCGGCAGGCACTCATGTTCCCAGTCACATTTGCAGGAAGGTGGACTGGAAGAGAAGTGACTGCGACTTGAACTGGTTCTCCAGTATGGGATGTGCCACTTCAAGCAACTGCTTAGTGCAATGCACCACAACATCCACTTGTCCTCATACTTGAAAACAAAGAACCAAAAGGAGAAAAATCAGGTGCCAACATTTCCTAGAGACCAACTAACATTTGAGAGATAATCAAAAAGCAGTGATGGGATAAACATTTGGTTTAAACAGTTAAGACACTGCTTGAGATGTTCACATCCCATTATTAGAACACTTGGCTTTGAGTACCAGCTTCACTTTCAACTCCAGCTTCCTGCCACTGTACACACTGGGAGACAGCAGGTGTTGGCTCAAAAATTTGGGTCCCTGACACTCATGTAGAGATCTGGACTGAGTTTGCACTCTTGGCTTCAGTCTAGCACAGTCCTGGCTATGTGGGCATTCTGGGAGTGAACTGTGAATGACAAATGACATCTCTGTCTCTCCACTTCTCAAAATGCAAATTAAATTTTAAAAAGGAAGAAAAACAGTGGTAAAGAGATATATTGAAAAGAAAAAAACAGGAATGGTAAAAATGATCATAAATCAAACTAAGATACAATGAAAATCTTCATTACTGATAATCCAAAGACCCATTCACTGGTAGTTTTAACAAAATTTCAGTTTGTACGAATGAGTGACCCTTATGCAACAGTTACACTGAAAGCACCATAAACTCATGTCAGAAATCATACTATTATTTGGCAGCCAATCCATTTCAAGCAAATCTTTTTGCTGATTAACCCCAAGTTCTACTTTCTATAAAATTAACCAACATCTGAGCTGGTTAGATGGAACTAAGCTTCAATATCCATCGACAGATACTAGAGCCAAATGGGACGTGGGACACACTGGACTAGTCTGCTACACATACTGGCAAACCAGGGTAGGGGGTGGACCTGGCAGGAGTTAATGCGGGTTGCTCCGACTAGGTTGCAGCTCCCACTGGTTTATGTGAGGGCCGAGAGTGTGCTGGGCAGAACCAGGCTGGACTGCAACACACACTGGTTCCAGTCGAAGTCGGGGCTGAAAACAGAACCAACCCAGCAATTGCAATCACCAGCTGATTGGGGCGATGGACTGTGCTGGGCCCTGTGCTTGCTGGTGCATACAAGAATCTGGTCTGGGAACACTTCAGACAAAGTTTCTTTGGGGATCTCCCCAACTGAAATGCCAGACTCAGAACCCTAACCAAGAAAAGACAGAGGACAGAAAAAGTCAATCAACCACCTCAGCTATATATTGGCAGTGAAATACTGGGCAAATGGAGACTCTATGATGGAGTATGTCAATCAGTGCAGTGGCAAGATTGGCAGCGATTCATAACTGGTGAACTATCAAAACCACTTGAGCAAGAATCTTGGAGCATGCCCCACACATCAGGGACCTGGGGTGGGTGGGAAACTGGGTGGGGTTTCTCCCTCAATATCCCCCTTTACCTCAGATACATGAAGGAAACAATATAGAAATAATAGTCTTACCCACTTTCCTGTAGCCCTTGAACCTTTTTACCCTAATTAACTATGTAAAGATTGCTAAAAATATAATATAATAAAAAAAGAAAGAAAATTAACCAACATCTTCATTAAACATCTCTTGTTCCTCTACTGGAGAAAAGACCAAGAAGGGTTGGGGATCTCTCCAAGCAGTACAGAATGAAAGAAAGAAAACCACACATGTATATTTTTATAACTGTAAAAATTATATATAGATGAAACAAAGTAGGTTAACAATACATGTGTGGAGGAACACAAGGAAACAAATGGCACTATATCATGTACTGGTTTATATTTTTGACCCATGTTTTAAGTACAAAACCTTTTCAAAATATTTTAACAGAAAAGCGTTCTTTTCACCAAGAATCAAATTTAACACTCTCTAAGAACACCAAAACTCAGTATCTTTTTATCTTTTTTTTCAAGTTTCCCTTTTTAGGTAAGACCTTTTTTTTTTTTCTCCAGTTACTAGCTCAGGGAGCAGCAGGCCAGAACACAGGTGGATGGAATGGCACCGAGAACGCCACCTATAGGCCTACACGCAGGCACCACCAGACTACACACCCTAGTGTGAGTCTTCCCTGTTCTGAAGGGCTGGAAGCTGAATGCAAGGATGGGATGAAGACCCCATTTCCTGGAGGTCAAAGTGGCTCCTTCCAGCAAGCTGAGGAGACCATGTGCAGACTGTGCTTAGCTTAACTTCAAGACAACAGATAGCCCAGGCAAAGAGAAAGACAGAATTTTCTAGTCTTCAGGGGGTTATTTATTTATTTTTACTTGAACGGCCATATCACAGGAGAAAGAGATCTTCCATCTGTTGGTTCACTACCCAAATGGCTGCAAGGCTTGCAGCTGAGCTGATCTGAAGCTAGAAGCCTCCTCTGGGTATCCCAAGTGGGTGCAGGATCTCCAAGACTTAGGCTATCCTCCACTGCTTTACCAGGACAATAAGCAGGGAGGCAGATCAGAAGTGGGAGATCTGGGATTCAAACTGGCACCTATGTGGGATGCTGGCACCAAAGACAGAAGCTTAGCTTACTACACCACAGTGCTGGTCAGTAGGTCTATTTTATTTGGACTTTTTACCTGTTTAAGGCATTTCTCCCTTATCATGTGGTCTCTAAACCAGCATGTGTGTAATGGTATAAGGCATAAAAACAAATGTCCCTGGTTGCCAACACACTATATTTCAAGCTATTCCAATGATGTATCAACTGTGTAAAAGTGCTCAGACCGAGTCCATTGCAAAATCATTTGCCCTCATCTCTCTGGAGCTCTAGGTAAAGACCAGCCTCCACCCTACTATGAAACCATGTGGAACTACTATTTGCAATTTTCCTCTGAGTTCACAGCTAGACTTCCTTCAATTTCTGTAGCTCTGTTTTCCACTGCGGCCCCAGGAGGCCACCACCAAGCCTGTGTGTGCCATTGTCACACCTGTCTTGATACCTGCATTCTTTCTTCTCCAGTTCCCACTGCCCCCAATCTGGAATGCCCCACTCCTGCCCCTCAACTCAGAAACTCAAAACCAACCCACCCACTTCTGTCTTGTCACATCCACTTGCTACAGAACCACCAAGAAAGAATTTTCTCTTTGCTGAACCCCATGACCAAAGCCTCTTCATGTGGAGTGTGCAACAGGATATGGAGGACAGCAGTACTCCCAGGTTTAACAAGCCTCACTCAGGTAGTGGCAGCAACATGATATTCTTCAGGTCATTTTGCTTTCTACTAAATAAAAATGGCTGCTTCATTTGGTCTAAGCTCCAGAAGTACGGTGGCCACATGTGACAGGCAGACCCAGTCATGTAGCTAGCAGCAATTACCAACACAGTGATCCAAGATCTCTGTACTCTCTCCAAAGGTCCAGTGGCTAATTGGTCTACTCTTTCTCCACAATGAATTCTCTAGACATATTCTAAGTCCTCATTCAAAAGTACAGCATGGCTCACCTACTCTATACCAAGACAGTGGTACTCAGCTCTATACACGCTTTTATGATGTTCATCAGTCAGCGGAACAAACAGAAACTTTCAAAAAGAAACAAACAAACAAACAAAAAAAAAGCAATAAAAATTGCCAAAATAAACCAGAGGGGGTGGCACTAAGGCATAGTGGATAGAGCTGCCACCCATGATAACAGCATCCCCTACTGAAGCACTGGTGCAAGCCCTGGCTATGCTGCTTTGATCTAGCCTCCTTGCTACTATACTTAGGAAATAGCTCAAGATGGCCGAAGTTCTTGGACCCCAGTCATCCATGTGGGAGACCCAAAAAAGTTCCAGCTTCCTGGCTCCAGCCTGGCCACTGCAACCATTTAGAGAATGAATCAGGGAGCAGTACAGTGGTATAGCAGGCTAAACCCTGCATCTTGAGGTATGAACATCCCATATGGGTGCTGGTTCATGTCCTGGCTGTTCCATTTCCAATCCAGCTCTTTGGTTATGGTCCAAGTCCTTGGGCCCCTACACACACACAGGAGACCCAGAGATGCTCCTGGTTCCCAGTTTCTGATTAGCTCAGCTCTGTGTGTTGCAGCCATTTGGAGAGTAAACCAGTGATGGAAGACGTCTCTTTTCTTCTCCCTCTGTAATACCTGCTGTTCAAATTAAAATAAATCTTTAAAAACTTCTCTACAAATAAGAACACCCATCAAAAAAAAGAATGAACTAGTAGACGGAAGTTCTTTCTTTCCCTAACATTCTGCCTTTCAAATGAATAAATAAAACAAATCAGAAAGGGAAATTTCAAAAAAAACCATTTTCCCTCTACTCCTCATAGCCAGTTATTTGGAGGACAATCTCAACAAACCAACTGCAAAATATTGGCAGGAAACTAGCTTTGCTTGTATTTTCACAAATGCTGTGACTTAGCAGAAACAAGAAAAACAAAATGAGAAACCCAAGCCTGTGCTTCCCAATCACCAAGGTAGCAAGCAGGAAGCAACTACTCAATTATTTGAAAGTAACTGCTTTCAAAGGCTCAAGCACTGCCATTTCCCTAGAAATCCTTTGTACTACAGGACCACTTTAAAGGGGCTATGGTTGAAATTTGCTCTGCATTTTAACAAACCACCCAAAGCTTGAAGATCTTCCATCTGATGATCAGCTTCAAGGTCTCTGAGGTCCCAAACTATCAAAACAGCGGAATGGGCGGAGGAGGCTCTCACTCCTAGTGCTCACAGAGATCCTCAGCTTCAGTACCATCGGTCACAGATGCCAAGGCCCTATCCTGATACCACTCAAAAAGGTTCCCAGGTAGCTCTGGTTTCCTGTCACATATGGGAATTACTAACACCACAAACTCACTCAGTATGAGGCATCTATTTCCTGATATGCACAGCTTAAATACTGGCCAGAAACTGCAATGGCCTCTAAGCAGGGTGACAAAGAGTGGAAGGAGATGGACATAAAGTGGAAGTGAAAGAGGCATGTACTGTAGTAATCATTTTGGGTTATTAACATAAGTATCAAGATCCAGAATAAAACCAAGGTCAACAGTTTCAAAAATTTAAGGAAGTACAGCAAATCTTTAACCAAGTAAATCTTACTACAGATTACAAATGTCAGTGACTTACAAAAAATTTCACAAGAAAATGATAAAACTTTTAATGACTTTTAATGAGTAAGGAAATGTTTTAGTCTGTGAACATGGAAACGTAGGTTCTACCAACAAACAAGTTCTCACAGCATCAGCTACCACGGGGTATATCTATGTAGGTGACAGCAATCCTCCGAACATTGATATGAAGTTATCATCTTCTAGGACAGACCATTTCATTGATCTTTAAAACATTCCAATCTACATATCTTCCAAGGGCAAAATAAATGATGAAGGACATCTCAACAGAAGCTGTTTCTCAAAATAGGGCCTTAAATGCCTTAGGACTTTGCCTACTCTTAAGAGACTGGCTTTGCCTAGCTATTTGTTTCGAAATTCTGTCTTTTGCTCCAAGTATCACCATGTATCTTATAAGCTTTAACACATATGAAGCAGGCCTGGCGCGATAGCATAGCAGCTAAAGTCCTTGCCTTGCACGTGCCGGGATCCCATATGGTTGCCGGTTCTAATCCCGGTGGCCCCACTTCCCATCTAGCTCCCTGCTTATGGCCTGGGAAAGCAGTCAAGGACCGCCCAAAGCCTGGGGACTCTGCACCCACATGGGAGACGTGGAAGAGCTCCTGGTTCCTGGCTTTGGATTGGCTCAGCTCCAGCTGTTGTGATCACCTGGGGAGTGAACCATCGGACAGAAGATCATCTTCTCTGTCTCTCCTCCTCTCTGTATATCCCCGCCTTTCCAATTAAAAAAAAAAATCTAAAAAAAAAAAAAAAATACATACAAAGCTTAGCTTCTGATTTCCAGACAGAAGTGATTATACCATAAAATAGAATATTAGGGTAGGACCTGATGCAGCAGCCTAGTGGCTAAAAGTCCTCGCCTTGTACATGCCAGGATCCCATCTGGACGCTTGTTCTAATCCTGGCAGCTCCACTTCCCAGCCAGATCCCTGCTTGTGGTCTGGGAAAGCACTAGAGGACAGCCCAAGGCCTTGGGACCCTGCACCCATGTGGGATACCCAGAAGACGCTCCTGGCTTTGGATCAGTTCAGCTCTGCCATTGTGGCCACTTGGGCAGTGAATGAGCAGATAGAAGAACTTCCTCTGAGTAAATCTGACTTTCCAATAAAAATAAATATATCTTTAAAAAAAAATAGCAAAGGATGCAAACATGGCAAAATATTAACAACTGACAAAAGCCAGATGAAGACTATGAGTGTCTTTGCAACTTTCAGAAGGTCTAAGAATTTTAAAGCAAAAAGCTTAGGGGAAAAATTCAAATCCGTAAGTTTGAGATTCACATTTCTATCTAGAAAACTAGCTAGAAATGAGTTCCATAAATATGGAACATAACTAAAAGGTTATCCAGGGCTGTACAGATGTAAGCACCTGTATTACCAATCAAGAAAAGCTGAAGCAAATCAAATGAATCCCAACTGCTTTATTTCCAAGTCCCTGAGTCCTGAATCCATGTGGGAGACCTGAAAGAAGCTCCAAGCTCCTGTCTGCTCAGCCACGCCCCTTGCGGCCATTTGGAGAATGAACCGGCAAAGATTTCAAAATTTCTGTCTCTGTCTCTTTTCTTTTATGCAATTCTGCCTTTCATAAAAGAAAAAAAAAATGTTAACAAAATTGCACCAATAAAAAATACCAAAAATGATTGCTACTGGTTTATCACGGCTGATTCAACTTAATGTTACGTCAGGCACAAATATTTTTTAGGTGACAGTCTAGACCCCGGTTACCAGTACACATTCCATACTAACATGAGATGATAAAAAGAAAAAAGAGCACAAAATACAGCCTGAAGGATATCAGATAAGCAACCCAGCCAATATTCCTGCCTGTGGGCTGCCCTATGGAAACAGATTTTCCCGCTACTACTTGCTCTTCCAAAACAGCACCTTCTACTTCATATGTAATGGTTTTCAAGTAGATTAAAATGTCACTGCTTGAGCAAAGAGGACCTCCAGTTAAGCAGAAGTGGTCAAACATCTCTACTCTTATCTGAAGTTCTTCTAATGTATCAGCTAAGGAGGAGGTGACACTAACTCCTAAGAAGGGAATGGAAGACAACATTTGTAAGCTAGAAAAGCTGTCCAGCTGACCTAGCAGACCAAAACACCTGTCATCAGCCAGGGAGGCCCAAAGCAAACAGCTTCCAATTGTAACCACAGAGAGGCTCAGAAAGCGGAAAGGTTCAATGCCACAAGCAGGGACAGAGGGAGATCTGATTGGAATGTCAAATCACGTTGACACCCAACAGTTCTCAACTCGGACTACTGACACATTTGCAGGCAAGTTTACTCCCCAAGGCAGGACAGGACCACTCCGGGGAGTACCACGCTAAAATGGGAGATGGTGTGTCAAGAACCTTCACCTTTCAAACAATTCTAACAGAGACAAATAACAAAAAAAAGAATGGCATCTGGAAGAAAAGTACAGAAAACAGATAAAAGAGAAAAAAAATACCATATTTTTACCAAGAAAATATAAGCTATTACATAAATTATAAAAGAACAGGATACTATTTTTAAAGGCTCACAGACCAAAATGGAGTTCCTATGAAGTCTAACATTCGAATGAATTCTAGAAAATGAGAACAAGGAAGAAAGAAGAAAAATCAAAGAACCTAAAAAGTACTTTTTCAAAATAGAGGAACATGAGTTTTTAGATTAAAAAAAGCCCAGCAAAAATCCAGAGCCCAAGATGAAAGAGATCCACATGAAGGTGCATCACTGAAATTTCAGAAGACTGAAAATGAAGAAAAATTCTAAAGGTCCTCAGAAAAGAAAAGAAAAAGCAGTCAGGGCAGGAGGGAAGGGAGATGAACAAGGTAAGAGGAATCTATAATGGCTTCAGGGGTAATACTGGAACAAGCTCTTCAAAACTGGAAATAATGAATTTTGAATTATAACAAATTATAATCTAGATCTTTACACCACAGCACTCATATAAATTGGGGGAAATAAAATAAAGATGTCTTCAGATATGAAAACTTCATAAAACATGAATTTCTAAAAACTCCTTAAAGCAGGTGCTACAACATGCATGTCTGCTTTCTAACAAGTGACATTTCCCCCATAGAACATAGTCCTGCTACCGGATCTTTAGCATGTAAAACAGGAGAGCTGTTACTGTAAGAGTACAAAATGCTGAAATAAAGTTCACAGATGTGGTTAGACAACCAGTAAAAACCCATGAATGAAGAACAAGTATGTGAAACTGAGGCAACTGTATTGATACTCCATGACTGCCAGTTCTTAATGTCTGATGTCTCAACATAACCTATCTAGTTCTAAGAAATGAATACACATTTCCATCAAGTATGCCTCAAGGAACTTAGGCAGATTCATATGTCTGGCTACAAAACACTGTTTAGTCCCTAAACAAAAACATTTATATCTACTTTTAAGCATTCACTGTTGATTACAATTGTAAATCATAGTAGCAAGAAAATCTGTCACACTTAGGAAAGGGGCTACTTTTACTAATTTTTTTTTTACTAATTAACTTTTATAGACTGGCTACCTAGGAAATCTTCAATGTGAGGATAAAGCTTTTATTTTCACCCAAAAGTTTCACACCAGATACAAGTATCCCAATAGCTGGCTTCATTTTATCCCTAAGGCTTTACTGATAGTGCAAGACTTATCTGAGAATTCTCTGAACATCCCCAAAACAACCAATGCCATTATTTTGCCTCCATGTTGGTTTTCAAATTATGGTCTAAAAAGCAGTTTTTTCTACCAGGTTTCACATGCCTAATCAACAATTCTTGTCACAAATTAATCTTTTAGTGTTTGAACAGTCATTAAAACAAACTCAGAAAATCCATTCTACTAATTGTATTTTTAAAAGAACATTTCAAAGTCTCATATACTTAATAAAATAAAAATAACCCGGAACAGGGCTCTTCTGAAGGAATACGTCTTTTCTAGTTTTTACTATTTGCTTTGTCCACAGTGTACATAAACATTTGAATCCAAGGTTTTATTTCTTTTCCCCAAGTCCTTACCAGTTTATTCCTTCCTATGAACAATGTCAGATTTTTTACGAAAATCAACGTTAACAGCTATTTTAAAGCTATGTTGTCTAAAGCAAGAGTGTTGCATACAGTATCAACAGTACCTAACACCAACTCCTCAACTCCCAGTAATCCCTTGTCAGAAACAAAAGGTATACGCACCTTAAAGTCTGTATTATTGATATATTCAAATACCAAAGCTGGTGTCTTTGACTGAAAGAGAGAATATGAGTGCTTTGTAAGTACTCAAACAATGAGAAGTGCAATTTGCTTCAGCCACAATGGTTCATTTCTAAATCCCACTTAAATGAAAAAAGGGATCCACACATCAGGGACACCTACTAACCAATCCTATTCTTATAATAATATTATTTCTCCAATTTGCCTCAAAATTACCAGGAATAGTGGGAGGAAGGGAAATGGGCAGACGTACAGATGAACAAAGTTGACTGCATGCTGATTAACCTTCACCATTGGGTGATGTGTGTGGGAGGCCCATTATATTACTCACTTTTTTGGTAAGGCTGCAATATTCCATAATAAAATGTTTTTTAAAAAGGAAAGTATTCCCTGAACAACCCATAATGCCCCTGATCAACCTGTTAATAGTTATCTGAAAATACACTCTGCAGTGTTCCAATTGTCAATTATAAAAGGAATGATACATTCCATCTCTGTGTCACAAACCAAACATTTGATACAATTAACATGGGTCTTGAGAAATCTACTGCAAACCTTTTCAGGATCCAAAAGGAAATTGCATTCATTAAACTATCACCAAAATACATTGTGAAATTAGTCCATTAAAAAGTATCTCACCTCAAAAGCAGAAATGCTTCCTCCAAAATCATATGTAGTCAATTATTTTTCAAAGTACTATGATCCTTAGGAGGAGTGCAGAATGTTCAATTTGTGTAAGTTCAAGTGGGTACTTGGGATTTCTGTATCCCATATTCAAGTGCCTGAGTTCAGGTGCCAGCACTACTTCCAACTTCTTGGTAATGTGTACCCTGGGAGGCTGCAAGTAATGGTGTAAGCATTTGGACCCTGTCACCCACACAGATGGGCAACCTGTATTCACTTCCTGGCTCCTGGACTTCTGAAGAGTATACTAGCAGATGGAACATCTGCTTGCATAGTGTCTGCCTCTCTGTCTCTCAAATAAGAGAAAAACTTACTGTTCAGTCCAACAGTTATGATTTGGAAAATAAGTTGGGTGTCCCTCAAAGGGTCACGTGTTGAACTCTTGATCCCCACAGTTCTATGAACACATTAAGAATAGGGATTCCCTGAAATACAGTACATGAAGGTAGGGCCCTATACAATGATCACATTGGATTGGGAGGTTAGGATAGAGGATGCAGCCAGAGACACGTGGTTGTGAAGAGACTGCTCCTGTGTTTCTGCTTCTTGTCCCACCATGCGGAGACCCCCTCAACACAGCAATTGGCTATCCATCACTCTTACTGGACACCAGACCAATGGGGCTTAATTAAGCTCTTCACACTGCGCTACCCCACCCTGCTTCCAAAAAAATCTGCAAAGTAAAAAATTCAAACACTTTCTTCTCTCTAAAATACCTTTTCTTGGGAATTTTAAAGCTAATACAAACCTTGGACTAACTGCTTAGCCCCTGCTGCCATTAGCTTTCTTGTCAGCTACCTCACAGAATTAAAAGGAAATGGATATAAGGGGAAAAATTATGCATAAATTAAAAAACCTATACCAAAATAAGCATTCTTTCATTCCTTTTCCCACAAACTTTTTGAATTGTCTCTGTTTTATGAAGATATCTTTAGCAGATATAAGCAAACTATTATGGGAAGCATACAGGAAAATATGTGGTAGAGCAGGTAGGGAACACAAACGGGACAGGAAGAGTGTGAGTGAGCACTGGGCGGATCCTGCAACCCTAGCCAATCAAAAATACTGAAGCTTAAGTTACTCCGCAGGGAGAGAAAATAAATTAAAGAACACATTTAAAATGGTTCAAATTTAAGCATTTTAAAATATTTTAGTAGTATCTACACCTATAATGAGAGCTCTAATGGTAGATGCTGAATTAAAGACCAACTTAAGAAACAGCAAGATTTCTTCCTCAAGTGCTCAGTGAGGCTGACACCAGCTTAACTCTCTATGCCAGGTATCCACAAAGACCTTAGGTATTTCCTTGTATTAGCCTAGTGTTTTCTGAGTGTCAGTCAGGCTTGAGTGAGCTAAACAACACAAATTGGATCAGTAAGCTTTGAAGACTGGGAGAAAAGCAGGGATCTAAAGAAGATATTCTGTGAACGTGTGTGGATTAAATAACAAGAATAAAGAGGTAATGAGATGGACACTTTTCTCTATGTATTTTTACATTCTATAAAAGTGGTGGGAGCTACATTATTGGTCTGCACCATGACTTTCTCCGACTGGTTTTGAAAACCATTCAGTTGTAGACAAGCATCATCAGCCCCATCACGTGTCATTACCTTAGGGATTAAACACACCCCGTCTCGCTCCCCATACCCACACCCAGGGTTCTCAGGAGCCTCTCCCCAGCCACCAAGCACCTACCACAGGGTCCTTTACAGTGTCAATCAGCTTAATGATATTTGTTCCACCACGAAGATTCTCCAGAATCTTAACCTCTCGTTTTATCTTCTTTTTCTTCACTGGCTTAAATACACAAAAGTAATCAGAAGTGAGACTCCCTTTTTAGTTAATACAATGTATAAAACTTAAAATAATGCTAGCCAATCAGATACAGTATGGTGTCTTGTACAACTTGTACTACTAAAGGGCATGCCTAAATAAGAAGTGAAAAAAATAAATGCAGATAAAATGGCTTATCCTTAAGAAGCTTAGCCATGAAGTGAAATAATTGAGAAAACCATAGAGCTCACATGTCAAGACCTTGAAGCAGTTACATTCACAGCACTTGAAAATTTGGAACACCCATGCCACACTTTATAAAAATAAAATGCTTGTTTACTAGGTAACTGCCAAATGGAAAAATGTTAGAACTCTGAACAGCTGTCTATCAGGCACCCACCAATGGCAAAACGGACATAAAATGGTGAGACACCTGCTCTGCCAATGAGTTACATGTAATTTTGTCTTCTAGGAGTGAAGACCAGGTCACTGACATCAAGTTACAAACTTGCTTCCCAGCTGCTGGCTCCCATTTCCTGTCACCACTCCCATTTCCTTAACATCCACAATCTGAATCAGCAGAGCCAGTGACACTTCCCTAACAGATCCCATTCCTATAGAAAGAGGTGCTGGTCAGCCAGGGAGAAAATGGACCTGATAGACGGTGACTGAAAGTCTCTATTCATGGGCCTATCTGTTTGTTTAGACTTTAGTCAGAAATTCAGTGTGTACATTACCTCTTGCCTAAATGGGCTAATGAATTTAAAGGAAGACAAAAGAAGTTCTAAAAATGAAGCAGGTCACAACCAAGTAAGGTTTGTAAGGCACTTAGTAACAGGGCCTGGAACATGGTAAGCACTCAGGACATGGTGGCTGTAGTAATTTCACATTAGTAGTAAACCATAAACCTCACAATACCGCTGTCTAATACTCTCAGCAAAGCTGAGTTATTTGCCCAGCCACAGGGCAGACTGGGATAGGAATCAATTTTGGGCATTCCAACACTGCTGATATAAAAAGGGCTGTGTGTACAATGGGTGGGGGAAAAGTAACATGTACCCATGTCAGAAAACTTTCATCTCTGTTGGTAAGATACCACTTAGAACACAAAACAGAGGACCTGTATCACCCGCATGATTCATGGAGACTGTGTCACTGCACATCTCCTGTACCGTCCTCTGCCTTCACTTTGTCAGAGTTCCTATACTGCAGATCTGCCTGTTACACCTTTTCCCCATCTCCATGTGGAACCTTACATCTCAATCTGTTTTAAATAGGAAGTTCAATATCTGAGAAAATTAAGTACTGTACAATTTGATTAAAAAAAAAGTCAGGGAAAACTAGGTCAGTGGGCTAACTTCAAAAACTGTCAGCTTGAAGAAACAAACTGAGTAACTGTTTCAGAATAAAAAGACATGACAGAGTGGTACTGTAGTGTAGCAAGCAAAAGCCACGGCCTGCAATGTTGGCATCCAATAATGGTGTTGGTTCATGTCTCAGCTGCTTCATTTCTCATCCAGCTCCCTCCCAACACACTTGACAAAAACAGTGGAAGACAGGGTATGGAACCCTGGAAAAAGTTTCTGGCTCTGGCCTGTCATAGCTCCAGCTACTGCGACCACCTTGGGAATGAACCAGCAAATGATTCCCACCCCCATCTTCCTGCCCTTTAACTTTAAAAACAAAACAACAAAAACCATATATTTTATATAAATATTTTATTCAAATATTTATGTGATCTATGATTTTCTTTTGCCAGTTAGGCCATTATGGGATAGGTGTTAGACACAGCATTTAAGAGGCTGCTTTTGGAAGTTTGCCTTTATTCTGTATTAGAGTGCTTGGTTCTGAGCCCTAGTCCCATTTCTGATTCAGCTTCCTGCCAACACATGCCCAGGGAGGCAGCAAGTGACGCTGCAACCTACATGAGAGACCCAGCTTAAGTTACTAGCTATTGGCTTCAGTCTGGCCCAGCCCCAGTTGTTCCCACCATTTGGGGAATGAACTAGTAGATGGATGATCTGCCCAAATGTCCCTTTGTCACCCTGCCTTTAAATAAATATTTAAAAATTTAAAAATAATTATTAAAAAAATAATTTTAAGAATTGGCAAATGTAGTTGAAGGCTGTAGATTAGCTAATACTGCCTCAATGTTACTTTGTGATATTTCATCATGGTACATAAGGGTTATATAAGAGACTGTCCCTGTTTTATAGGAAATATTCACTAAAGTACTCAGGACGACTGACTACAATTTACCCTAAAGCACTTTGAAAAAATACAGATTATCTATGTATATGCACTGATATACACACACTTGTACATATAGGACATACTCACATATGAGAAAGCGAGAAGGCTAAAGTGAATGTTAACACTTGAATAATCTGGGTCCAGAAAACATGGGAACTCTTGCTACTTTAAGTCTGAACTATGTCAAGAAGAAAAGCAAAAACTGGCTACTTTGCATGTGTAAACTCAGCTAATGCTATTGGTACATTCATGCTTTCAAGAGCAAGACAATTCTAGAGTTGTCATTCACCACTAGTAAGCAGCTAGAGATCTGTGGAAGTAGTAACAGAGGCGAAGAAAAATCTAGCCAGAAGTCTGAACATAACTGACTGTTCTACTCTGAACAGTCAGTACCAACCCCTCATCTAGGGAACCCAGTAAGCAACTGTCCTGGATAAAGCCTTGCACTGCTCTTTCATTCTGCCAAAGGTCAGGCAGACAGCGTACACAGACTAACCAGTTAGGAGGAAGCTAGCTTTTGATACGTCTGAAGGTAATAGTAGAGCAGTTGAAGCAGGCATTGTTGTCCAAACTGTCACCAGTCTAACAACTTTGTAAACCACAGACTGGCGACAGCAGGACAACTCTCAAGTGGCACAATGAGTCCAGCAGCAGCCATAGTCCTCACATGGACAAACAGCCCAAGGACTGCATAAAAGGCAAGTGACGGCATTCCAGGACTCCTCACTCCAAGCAGCTCTGCAGCCTTAGTTTCCTTCTGAGCCTGGCAGCTATTCCCGAAGCTTAAACAGCCATGAATTTCCAGGCAGATGAAATAGAACCATTTTAATTCTACAGAAGAAATAAAAAGATATTTAGGTTTTTTTTTTATGAGACAGGATTTTGGTATTCTAAGGAAAATAAATGAGTTTCACAGAAATAAAAATGTTCTGACTCTGAGTAGGCAGCCATTCTCTACAGGTCCTACAAACGGGGAAAATACATGTTACCTTCATAGCAGTTTCATTTTTTTATGTTAGAAAAAGTCCTCCCAATACACAGAGTATCTGTGTGACATTCAAATGGACTAAGCTGTTTTCCAAACCATGAAAGAACTCAAGTACATACATAAAAAAGTAGCAAAAAATTAAGATAAGGACATTAAAGTATTAAGTTTCAATAACTTAATACGTATCTAGATAGTATATTTAATGGGAAAATGTATTTAAAATTTTTCTGTGCATGAGCTCTGAAAGTGAAAACAAAAGAAATTAAGGGAAAGAAGGAGTGAAGGAGGTAAGGAAAGAAGGGAAGGGAGAAAGGCATCTTTTCAGTAGCTGTCTGCTATGTGGTGCTCAGTTTCAGCAGTCAGCAGACCCCATTCAAAGTGAACCAACATTCAGGTATTTCTCTTCTTTCCTTGTTCAGTATCCTCAAAAAAAAATCCCAAAACAAAAACAATTGGGCCAACGGTAGCATAGCAGCTAAAGTCCTCGCCTTGAACACGCCGGGATCCCATATGGGTGCCGGTTCTAATCCCAGCAGCTCCACTTCCCATCCAGCTCCCTGCCTGTGGCCTGGGAAAGCAGTGGAGGACAGCCCAAAGCCTTGCAACCCTGCATCCATGTGGGAGACCTGGAAGATGTTCCTGGCTTTGGATCAGCTCCTTGGAGAGTTAATCATTGGATGAAGATCTTTCTGTCTCTCCTCTGTATATTTGACTTTCCAATAAAAATAAACAAATCTTAAAAAAAAAAAAAAAGGGAAAAAATTAGCACAGTAACCCTCATTATTTACTCAGAGCTGTTTAGAAAAAAATCAGATTTGAGAATTATTTCAAATTATAAACTTGCAAGCCTGTGTCCACCAAACGTATAAGAAGTATAATCTCAATAAATCCTAGCAAGTATTCACAGGAAAAAACCTCACTGAAATTTCTTTCCAAGCACCACTGGATTGATAAAAAATGCATGGTGCTCAGAAATATAGCTTAAATTCTCAAATTTGGTGCTTTTATTCTACTTCCAAGCCAACAATTGCCTAAGATAGTAATTTTCTCATCTGCAATGAATAATTTCAACCAATAGTGGGTTGGAAGAAGCAGAAGGACAAATGGAAAAAACCTCAGCCTAGACAGTGGTACTTTCTTTCTTTAAAAGATTTACTTATTTTTATTGAAAGGCGGATCAGACTTTATGAAGAAGGAAAAACAAAGATCTTCCATCCACTGGTTCCCTCTCCAAATGGCTGCAAAGGTTGGAGCTGAGCTAATCTGAAGCTAGGAGCCAGGAGCTTCTTCCAGGTCTCCCAAGTAGGTGCAGGATTCCAAGGTTTAGAACCATTCTTTACTGCTTTCCCATACCATAGGCAGGCAGCTGGATGGGAAATGGAGTAGTCAGGACATGAACTGGCACTCATATGGGATCCCAGCATGTTTGCAAGGCAAGGAGTTAGTTAACAGAGCCACTCCACTGGGCCCAAAAAGTATCCAATTATCTTGGTCACCACAATGGTCAGAGCTGAGTCAAACTGAAGCCAGGAGCCTCTTCCTGGTCTCCCACACGGGTGCAGGATCCCAAGGCTTTGGGGCCATCCTCAACTGCTTTCCCAGGCCACAGGCAGGGAGCTGGATGGGAAGTGGAACCACTGGAATAGAACCAGCATCCATATGGGATCCTGGCACATTTAAGGAAAGGACTTTAGCCACCAGGCCATTGCACTGGGCCCTAAGACGCATACTCTTAATTCTGCTGAATTTCAGGGCCCTGAGGCCCAAAGAATTTAGGGAACTG